GTCTCCAGCCTGAGAGGCTCCTAGGACGCCCCCGGAGGCCATCAAGAGGCTCCCAAGAAGCCCCGTGAGGCTCCCAAGAGGCCCCCCGGAAGCCCCAATAAGCCCCCAAGGGCCTCCCAGGGAAGCCCCTTGCGGGCCCCCAAGAGACCTCGTTAAAACCTATTTCCCAGAGTCTTCTGGGAGCATGATTCCTTGGGCTTCCGCCCACCGCCCCAACCATGTTTCCAATAGGCTTGCCGACAAGGCCAAGAAGGGCCCCTCGGTAAGCCCCCAGAGCCCCCCCTCTTAAGAGAGCCGAACAAATCATGCTCCCGGAAAGCTTCCCGGGAACATGATTCTCGGGTTGCCGCCCTCTCCCCAAACCATGTTATAAACGCTTGCCAGGATAAAGCAATACCCTGGCGACGTACCCAACCCCTGCGCAATGCGGGGCATGAGTAGCTTGGGAGACGTTATACGGAGGTGATGACGTGACATGGGCGCATATACTTCTGCGAGCGGCATCCGTGAGGCTCGCAGCCCCCCAGGGATTGCAATGTCCCGCTCAGATCTGCCTGGTGCCTCGCTCCGCTGGACCCACCAGCAGCCTTCGAAAGTGGCGACAGTTTCGCAGATCGCAGCCCCCCAGGCACGGCGAGGTCCCGCTCGGGTCCGCGCGGCACCTCACTCCGCAGGACCCACCAGCAGCCCTCGAAAATGAAGGCAGTTTCGCAGATCGCAGCCCCCCAGGGACGGCGAGGTCCCGCTCAGATCCGCGCGGTGCTTCACCCCGCAGGACCCACCAGCAGCCCTCGAAAATGAAGGCAGTTTCGCAGATCGCAGCCCCCCAGGGACGGCGAGGTCCCGCTCAGATCTGCGCGGTGCCTCACTCCGCAGGACCCACCAGCAGCCCTCGAAAGTGACCGCAGTTTCGCAGATCGCAGCCCCCCAGGGACGGCGAGGTCCCGCTCAGATCCGCGCGGTGCTTCACCCCGCAGGACCCACCAGCAGCCCTTGAAAATGGTGGCAGTTTCGCAGATCGCAGCCCCCCAGGCACGGCGAGGTCCCGCCCAGATCTGCACTCCGCAGGACCCACCAGCAGCCCTCGAAAGTGGCGACACTCTCGCAGATCGCAGCCCCCCAGGGACGGCGAGGTCCCGCTCAGATCCGCGCGGTGCTTCACTCCGCAGGACCTACCAGCAGCCCTCGAACGTGGCGACAGTTTGGCAGATCGCAGCCCCAGGTTCCGCTCAGATCTGCGCGGTGCCTCACTCCGCTGGACCCCCTCGAAAGTGAAGACAGTTTCGCAGATCGCAGCCCCCCAGGGACGGCGAGGTCCCGCTCAGATCCGCGCGGTGCCTCACTCCGCAGGACCCACCAGCAGCCTTCGAAAGTGGCGACAGTTTCGCAGATCGCAGCCCCCCAGGGACGGCGAGGTCCCGCTCAGATCCGCGCGGTGCTTCACCCCGCAGGACCCACCAGCAGCCCTCGAAAATGAAGGCAGTTTCGCAGATCGCAGCCCCCCAGGGACGGCGAGGTCCCGCCCAGATCCGCGCGGTGCCTCACTCCACAGGACTCACCAGCAGCCCTCGAAAGTGACCGCAGTTTCGCAGATCGCAGCCCCCCAGGGACGGCGAGGTCCCGCTCAGATCCGCGCGGTGCCCCATTCCGCAGGACCCACCCGAAGCCCTCGAAAGTGGCGACAGTTTCGCAGATCGCAGCCCCCCAGGGACGGCGAGGTCCCGCTCAGATCCGCGCGGTGCCTCACTCCGCAGGACCCACCAGCAGCCCTCGAAAGTGACGACAGTTTCGCAGATCGCAGCCCCCGCAGCCCCCCCAGGGACGGCGACCATAGGGGGGGGGGGCGGGAGAAGGACGCGACCACACCCCCTATGCAAAAGGAATACCCAACCAAGGAGGGTTGGGGGAACAAAAAACATAATCCCAAGCAGCGCTACCTGCCGCCACGCTGGGAAACGCGCCAGGCCCCAAAGCCTCCAGAGGCGCCCAACGACACCCCAACAAATCATGTTCCCAGGAAGTTTTACGGCCAGTGCTGCCGACGTTGAAGGAGGACGGTGCAGGACACCCATAAATCTTCCAAACAGGCTTCCAAGAGGGCGCCGAGACAGCCCAGGGCCGCCCCCAGACGGCCCAAGAAAGCCCCAACACAAACGAAAAGGGCCGCAAGAGGCCCCCAAGAGGCCCCGAAACGAAGGCATATCGTTCGAACGCGCCCAAGATGGCCTCTGCACGGCCGACGAAGCTTCCAACACGGCCCAAAGGGACGCCAAAATCATTGATTGTCCTTAGGTTTTTGATGGATTTCAGACACCCAATGTCGCCCAAACAGGCTCCCACGAGGGCGCCGAGACGGCCCAGGGACGCCCTGTCGCGGGCACGAGGCGGGGCCCGGGACGGGGCCCTCGCACCGGGGGGCCCGGTGGCCCTGCCGTGGCGCTGGGGGCCTTGTAAAGTTGCCCGAAGACGGCCCTGGGGTTTCCAGATAACGAAAACGACCAATGACCGCCCGAGATCACGCCAGAATTGATCCCTGACTGTCCAAGAGCCCTCCAAAACGCCCCAAGAGGTCTCCAAGATGGCTCCCAAGGAGCCCCAGGAGGCACAACTATGTTGTTTTCCTTTGGTTTTTGATCGATGTTCGAGTTCTCGCCTTTTTAGTTTCCTGACGCTCCACGACGGCCCAAGAGGTTTTAATTTCCGCTCCAAGGCATCCCCAGAGGCCTCGAAGACGGTCACAAGACAGCCCACGGGGGTCGCAAGACGGCGCCAGAGGCGCCCAAGGCGGCCCGAGAGGTCCCTAAGACGGCCCCAAGATGGAGCCGAGAGGGTTGACACGAACCGAAAGTCCGAGTCTTCCTCCCCGAGAGGCTCTCAGGAGGCTCCGAGAAGCCCCTAACGGGCTCCGAGAGGCCCCAAGAAGCCCCCCAGGGGGCCGAGGAGTATCCAAGAGGCCTCTCACGAAGGCCCTAAGAGGCAAAAATCCATGTCTTGCCATAGGTTCTTGATTGATGTTAGAGTTTTCAGCCTTTTGGCGCCCTGACGCTCCAAAACGGCCCACAAGGCCTCCAAGACCAATCCAATGTAGCCCAAGAGGCCTCCAACAGGGTCCAAAACAGCCCGAGAGGGCACCAATACGGCCTCAAGGGGGGCCCAAGAGGGGTAAGACGAACCGACAATCCGAGCCTTCCACCCCGAGAGGCCTTCAGGACGCCCCGGATGCCCCCAAATGGGACCGAGAAACTCCCCAGAAGGCCGAAGAGGTTCCAAGAAGCATTGTTTTCCCACCGGTTTTTGCTGGATTTTAGAATGCCCAGCCTTGTGGCATCCCGACGCTCCAAGACGGCCCAAGTGGCCCCCAAGTCCGCTCCAAGATAGCCGAAGAGGCCGTCAAGAGGGCCCCAAGACGGCCCACGTGGGCCCCAAGACGGTGCCCGAGGCGCCCAAGACAGCCCGAGAGGGCCCCAAGAGGGCCCCAAGAGAGCCCCAAGAATGGGAACGCGAACCCAACAGCAGAGCTTTCCGCCCTAAGTGCTTGTCCCTGGTCATTTTCTGAGGGGGGTGCACCCGCGGGGCCCAGGAGGCCAGGTCGGAAGGGGTGGGGAGTGAAAACGTATGTTGTGATTTGGCTCAAGAAAAGAAGGTTTATTCACCTCTCTCCCCCAATCCTTACGGGGGAGGGCTGAAACCTGGTAGCGCGGAGCTGAGCGATGTTCCGCGGCGAGAACACCACTGCGCGACTCTAGCAGCGGAGCGCCGACGTGATGGAGCAGCAGCTGCAACAGCAGCAGCAACAGATAGCGGAGCTGCTGCAGACAGTACAACGGCTGGAGCAGCAACAGCAGCAACGAGAAGCGGCTGGACAGGCACCAGGACAGCCTGTTCGGATCGCCCAGCGCTTCGAGCGAGTGCTGGACGCCAAGATCATCGGTAAGGTCAAGCAGTTCGATGGCTCGAGAGCAGGCTGGTCGACTTGGGAGTTCCACTGGAGAGCCTACATGGTGGCGAGCGAGAAGCGCTACAGGGACTTCTTCGAGAAGCTGGATGACAAGACCCTGGAGCAGCTTGACGACGCCAAGAACGCCACCATGAGCGTCAACGACGTTGACTGGGAGGACTTGAGCACGCAGCTGTACTACAGGCTGGTGCTCGCGATGCCCGAAGACTCGGTAGGAGAAAGCATCATGCGCAACGTCCTGCACGGAGAAGGCGGCCAGGCGTGGATTCGCCTGAAGGCCGAGTACGCGCCCAACGAGCCTGGCAACGTCGTGGCGCGCATGAGGCAGCTCATGACCACGCAGTTCGCGCTGGACGCGGACGTGGCGAACAAGATCGAGAAGCTGGACTTGGATATCAACAAGTATGAGAAGGCGGCCGACGAGCAGGTGAGTGATAAATCAAGAAGGGGATCCTGCTCGGCGCGCTCCAGAACGAGCCAGACCATCAGAAGCACGTCTCCCCCGACCTTCGGAACCTTGCCACGTGCCTCGAGGCGATGACCGAAGTCCAGAGCGCCTTGAAGGCGCAGCGCAGTCTTGACGACGATGCGATGGAGATCGGCGCGCTCAGCAAAGGAAAAGGCGATGGCAAAGGAAAGGGCAAGGGAGACAAGGACACATAGAAGGACAATAATAAGAACAAGTCCGGACCGAAGGCGAAGGACAACCCGAGTCACCCTAGGAAGTGGTGCAGTAATTTCGAGAAGCCGAACCGCGTCAAGGACGACTGCCGCAAGTTCAAGAAGGAGAACGAGGCCAAGTCGGAGGCCAAAAAAGAAAGCCAAGGACGAGAAGAAGCAGCGGCGGGCCTTGGCAGCAGGACTGGCCGCCGGCGGGGGCACACTACCTGCAGGAGTTCCTCCTCCGCCTGGGTTTGACGGCACAGGGCAGCTTGCAGTGTGCGCGACGACGCCAGCATCTTCTGGATCGGCTTCGGCGGCGAGCACGACGCCGACAATGCCCCATCGGCGTGCGCGGGATCAACGGCCTCATCGCGGAAAGGACGCGCTCGGGCCGAAGTGCATCTTCGCCCTCTCGGCCACGCGCTTGAGGCCGAGGCCGGGGGCGAGGTCGGCCGAGCCCAGCAGGGCGAGGCGCAGCAAGGGCGGTGACAGCGCTCAAGTCTCGGCAGCCCGCGGCATCAGAGGAGCCACGATAGACTCCGGGGCCCAGATCACCGCGTTCCCCTGCGACGTGCTGAAGAGCAAAGGCTACGCGCTGGCCAAGTCGAGCATCTCCAAGCTGCAGTCCATCGACGGCGCGAAGGTACAGCACTACGGCACTACGCCAGGACGTGATCCAGATCTCGGCGGAGGCAGCGGACGTGGAGTGGCCCGTGATGCCCACCGACGCGATCACGAAGCAGGGCAAGTCGGTCATCCACCCCCCCCTGGGCGACTGGATTGCGGCCGGCCCGGTCTCGCCCCCGACGTCGGCCAACGCGATCAAGCTGATGAAGGATCGGGGCACGTGCTACCTGGAGTGCGACGAGATGCTGGACAACTCCGCCGAGGGCAAGCGCGCGGCACGGATGGCAAGCATCGGCGAGCAGCAGGGCGAGGGGCTGTACCTCAGCGCGGCTCGCAAGACCCTGCGCGCGCAGGTGCCAGCAACGGAGCCAGCAACGGAGGACCGACAGCAGCTGCCGACAGCGCTCGGACCAGACCCCAGCGAGAACGTCACCTTGAAAGCGAAGGCGCTCGCGAGACCCGGCCAGCCCTCGGAGGAGGAGAGGCGAGCTCGCGAAGCACACCATCTTCCCTCAGGCCGCGGCGCAGCGACTGCGTCGTGGGCCGAGGGAAGGACGCGCCCCGCGAGGTGAGCTCAGAGCCCAAGGGTGACGACGAGTACCCAGTCGTGGAGATGGACTTCTTCTTCGCGGCTACCGACGAGATCGCGAGGAAGCACCTCATGGTGAACGGCATCGTCGTGAAGGTCATCGACTTCAGGAAGCTGGAGACCAAGGAGCGCGGGGAGCTGCCCGCGATCCTGAACGTCGTGGATTGCAGGTCCAACGCCTCGGCCGCGCTCTTCGGCCCCAAGCGGATCGGCGAATGCAAGTCACTCTTCGTGGCCATGCTCGTCGACAGCTGGGGCCGCGCGACGGTGATTCTGCTCGCGGACGGCGAGAGCGCGATCGTCGCCCTGGCTGAGCAGGTGAAGAAGCTCAGGTCGCATTCCACGATAGTGCGGCAAGGCCCAGCGTACTCCTCGAAGAGCATGGGGCGCGTTGAGGCCAGCAGCGGAGCGGCGGCGGGGCCACTCCGTACGCTGCGGTTTTCACTTGAGACCAAGCTCGGCTGCAAGCTCGAACTCTCGGATCCCGTCCTCGCTTTCCTCGCCAACGCGGCGGGCTGGTGCGTCGCGGGGTGCCAGCCGAGGAGCCGCGGAAGATCTAGCTACAAGTTCCTCTTCGGCCGAGAATACGAAGGAGAAGTGGCAGAGATCGGCGAGCAGGCGCGGCGTCGCATCTCGGCTCGCGTTGCGGCGGGCCAGGGCAAGTTCGAGGCGCGCTTCGCGAAGGGCATCTGGGTCGGCAAGTCAGAGTTTGGCGACCAGCACTTGGTGGTGGACCTTCAGCGCGGCCTCCTGAAGGTGCGCTCGGTTCGCCGCGTGCCCGAGGAGTTCCGCTGGAACGCCGAGCTCGTGAAGCAGGTCGACGCCACCCCATGGGCACCTGTGCCTGAGCGCGTGAAGTCGACCATCAAGCAATCCATGTACATCGCGGAGGCTATGAAGAACATGCATGGACCGACGGGCAGCTGCCCGAACTGCGTCTACGGGCGGGGCCAGCACAGCGAGCAGCGCCGGCAGCGCCTCGAGACCATCGCGCAGGAGAGCTCGAGGCGAAGCTCCTGGAGGAGACCAAGGGCGGCGTCGCGCCTGGCACCCCAGCGATGCCGGGGCCAGCGCCCCAGGCCCCCCCGCCAGGGCCTGCCGACCACCAGGCAGCGGCCTCAGGCTCGGCAGCGGCAGCGTCCTCGGCATCACCTACTGCAGCGGCAGCGCCAGCGACCCCAGGGATGGAGGTGAGCACGCCTAAGGCGCTGGAGAGAGACCCCGTGCAGGAGACCCTGGAGCCGAACAAGCGGCAGAGGGTCGGAGCACTGGTGCAGGCACCCGAGGTCGTGGTCATCGCGGGCCTCTCGGTCTGCGAGCTGGCGGTCTGCGAGGAAGACGGCGACCAGGAGGTGGACCCGCTCTGGGGCCCGATCCCGTCGGGCCTCGAACGGTGTGAGGGCCTCTGCGAGGCGCACGTGGGCTGCTGCGTCTTTCGGCACGACCATGGCGGGCAGTGCGCGTGCAGGGAGTGCCTCATCGGCTGCGCCAATGAGCTCAACCCCGACGACGAGGTGGTTGCGAGCCTGCGCGCGCTGTGGTCAAACCGCGGGGCGTACGAGATCACCGACTGGAGCGTGGGCCCGAACGCGGCCGAGCCGACGGTGAAGGTCCAGTACGACTATTACACTGGCGAGCCCCTCGACGAGCTGAAGTACCAGAAGGGCAAGGCAGACGAGCTCCAGGCCATGTCCGAGCACGGCGTCTACAGCAAGATCCGCATCTCGGACTGCGAGCCTGGAGGCAAGCACATCGGAGGCTACCCCATTGCGCACGAGAAGGCTGGGGAGGTGCGCCGGCGCTTCGTGGGGGCGGAGGTTGCCCGCCAGCACCGCGAGGACAACCATCAGGGCACACCCCCACTCGCGATGGTTCGCGCGATCCTCAACTTGGCGGCCAGCAAGCACGACAGCGACGGTCAGCACCGAAGGTGCATCCGCATCTGGGATGTCCGCAAGGCGTTCCTCAACAGCGACCTGCGCGAGAAGATCTACGCCCACCCAGGCAGCCAGCTGTGCGAGCGAGGCTTCTGCTGGGAGCTGCACAAGGCCTTGTACGGGACCCGCTTGGCCAGCCAGCTGCGGGGCGAGAGCGTGAAGGCTACCTCGGACGACGCTAGAGGCCAGGCGCTGAAGGGTGCCCGTGGCATGTTCTACTTCCCCAACCTCTGCAGCGACGGCAAAGACGCCGCGATGGGGGTCCACGGCGACGACTTCACTGCGGAGGGCCACGTCGCGACGCTCGACCAGTTGGACGACGTCCTGAGCGTGGAGTACGAGATTACCTCATCGCCGCCGCTGGGACCTGGACACCCTGGAGTTGCCCGATACCTGAAGCGCGTCTACCTCTACGTGGACTAGCTACCCGAGACGTTGCTGCCAGGCTTCTTCTGGCACGCTGGTCCGAAGCACGTGGCGGAGATCCTCAAGTTCGGGTCCAAGGAGGGCGCCGAGGCAGTCGACGCATCCGGCACCGAGGCGATTGGAGCACAGCTGCGCAACGCGACGGACCTGATGCCCACGGCTGAGGCTCGTAAGTCAGCATCGGCAGGAGGGCTTGCACTATACCTTGCGGCGGATCGCCCTGACATCATGTTCTCGAGCAAGACCATCATGCAGGACGTGAGCGGGCCGAACTACCAGATGCACGCGAGGCTCATGAGGTTGGCCCGCTACCTCGAGGGCCACCAGGTCCTGGTCTGGTGCTACGAGTTGCAGGACATGCCGAAAGGTGCTGAGTGCCGATGGAGACGCAGATTGGGCAGCCCCTACGGCGGCGGCGCGCAAGAGCACCTCGGGATTCACAATCAGGTTCGGCAATCATACCTGGGACTGCTACTCGGCCAGCCAGGCCACCCAGGCGCTGAGCAGCGGCGAGTCGGAGTTTTACGCCCTCGGCTCGATCGCGGCCCGAGGTCAGCAGGTGAAGTTCTTCCTGAGCGAGATCTGGATAAAGATCAAGCTGGTGGTGGCCTCGGACAGCACGGCCGCTCGCGGCATGGCCCAGCGGCACGGAGTGGGCAAGGTGCGCCGCGTGGAGCTGTGCTACCATTGGGTGCAGGAGCGGCTTCGACTCCAGATGTTCGAGCTCGTGAAGGAGGACACCCGCAAGATGCTGGCTGATATACGGACGAAGTACGTGGGCAAGGATAGCATGGCCAAGCACCTGCGCGAGCTGAACCTGAGGATGACGGGCGCGGCCATGGTCCTCTCGACGCTCCTGGCGATTCCGAGCGCGGCGGCGACGTCGGAACAGTGCAGGATGGACGATGAGGGCGAGAAGCTCGGAACGCGGCAGTCGGGGGGATTTCCCTGGCTGCTGGTGAGCTTGATCTTCGTGCTGTACCTCGTTGCCTACCTCGCCGGCTGGCGCGCGGGCAGGCGCAAGGCGGCCTCCCAGACGGCCGAACGGGGCCCAAGAGCGGCACCGAGAGGAGAGAGGACGCAGCACGAGGACCCCATCGAGTCCAGGCAGCGGCCGCCCGAGGCACCGAGCCCGAGGCCGACCGCCAGGAGGCTCGAGGAGGACTCGGAGCCCAGCCAGGAGCCGCCAGAGGAGCGGATCGCCTGGAGGAGCTCGGATTACATCAACGAGCAGAAGTACACGACGCGCGAGGTTCACCGCCTGTGCGAGACCTACACCGTTGGCGAGCTGCGGGACCTGCTAGTCTAGCAGAGCGTGCGGCTTAAGGTGGGCTACGCCAGGAAGGAGGAGCTCGTCGAGACGGCCAGCGCGACCAGCCCGATGGAGATGCAGGTGGTGACCCAGCTGACCAACGAGCTGAAGGACCGCGGGGTCGTCGTGAAGTGGCAAGTTCGCATGCTGGCGAGCGGGCGCAGGATCAGCGAGATGCTGGCCACCACCGCGGAGGTGCTGAACCGCCTGCAGGAGCGCTTTGGCTGATTACCGAGGCGCAGAACGCGGGTGAGGGCCGTTTGCCCGCTCTCTACGCCCGCGACCTTGAGGAGAGGTGCTCGTCCCTGGTCAATTTCTGAGGGGGGTGCACCCGCGGGGCCCAAGAGGCCAGGTCGGAAGGGGGGGGGAGTGAAAATGTAGGCTTATTCACCTCTCTCCCCCAATCCTTACGGGGGAGGGCTGACACACTAAGAGGCCCACAGGAGGCCCCAAGAGTCCCCAAGTGGTCCGACGAGGCCCCCCAAAGCCCCCCACCAGGCCCCAAGAGGCTCACAGGATACGTACACGGGGCCCCAAGATAGCCTAACGGTGCTCTCGATGCATCAAAATTGCTTCAAGCAGGCCCCGGGAGGCTTCCGGCTTGCCCCAATGTGGCCTCAAGCCGGGCCTCCATGCAGCCAAGACGGCCAATTGGCTGTTTCAGACTGCAGAACATCACTTTCCGACTGCCCGGAGAACCCTGACGATGCCCCCAAGGGGCCCGAAGAAACCCCAAAATGCACCCCCGAGAAGCTCCGTAGCCTTTTTGGCTCAAGCTGCTTTGGCTCAAGCATGGTCCGTTTTGGACGGGTGATCTTTCATACGTCCTTCTCTTGAAGCGCAGCCGTGCTCAGTGACTACACATCGTCTTGAGTTTGAAACGCGTCGGGTGCCTCCCAAGATATCAATGGGCCCTGGGCGCCAAGGCAGTCCGTATGAGTTGCATTGCAGCTTGTACGGGGTGTTCACCGCGTTGCTTCTGGCGATGATGACATGTGAGGCGCGCTGTCATGAGAGGCAGGGTTGTGCAAACAATCCCGCATATTGGACCGATAGTAGAGGGCTTCCTTGCGACGATTACGAGGACTTGTGCACGACATCTGCTGATCAGGTCATGAATCGCCATTTTGTCGTCGGCGATCTTTCGGACGTGGGGAGCATGGGACACTCGGCTGTGGAAGCTTGCTGTATTTGCGGTGGTGGACGTGAAATTCACGTCGCAACCTCCATGATAAGCAACACCCCCCCGGCAATCGCTTCCATAACTAGCATCGCTACCAAATCTCTGAAGGGCAGGAGGCTCCTTGCCAGCACCACCGTGACGAGTACTACCACTATGACTAGCATCACCGTGACGAGTACTACCACTATGACCAGCACCACCGCGACGAGTACTACCACTATGACCAGCACCACCGTGACGAGTACTACCACTATGACCAGCACCACCGCGACGAGTACTACCACTATGACCAGCACCACCGTAACTAGTACTACCACTATGACCAGCACCTCCGTGATCAGTACTACCAGTCTATCGAGCACCATTGTCATCATGACCAGCACCATGACCAGCACCTCCACCTTGACCACTGCTACCATGACCAGCACCACTACCCTGACGAGCACAACTGCAACCAGCACCACTACCCTGACCACTGCCACCATGACTAGCACCACTACCCTGACAAGCACCACTGCAACCAGCACCACTACGCTGGCCACCGTCATCATGACCAGCACCACGACCAGCACCTCCACCTTGACCACTGCTACCATGACCAGCACCACTACAATGACGAGCACAACTGCAACCAGCACCACTGCCCTGACCACTGCCACCATGACTAGCACCACTACCCTGACAAGCATCACTGCAACCAGCACCACTGCAACGCCGACGCCAGCGCCGACGCCAGCACCAACTCCAGCGCCCACGCCAGCACCAACGCCAGCGCCGACGCCAGCACCAACGCCCGCGCCGACGCCAGCACCGCCTACGCCAGCTCCAACGCCAGCGCCTACGCTGGCGCCTACGCCCGCGCCTACGCCAGCACCAACGCCCGCGCCGACGCCAGCGCCGACGCCAGCACCAACGCCAGCGCCGACGCCAGCACCAACGCCCGCGCCGACGCCCGCGCCGACGCCCGCGCCGACGCCAGCGCCGACGCCAGCACCAACGCCAGCGCCGACGCCAGCACCAACGCCCGCGCCGACGCCCGCGCCGACGCCGGCGCCGTCTCTTACGCCTACACCGGCACCAACGCTCGTGCCGCTGACCCCAGCACCAACGCTGGCGCCCACGCCTGCACCTACGCCGACGCCAACTCCCGCGCCGACGCCAGCACCGACCCCAGCCCCCACAGTCTCCAGCACCAGCACCATGTCCACTCATACCGCGACCAGCACCACCACCTTGACCAGCACCAGTACTGTGTCTAGCACCAGCACCATTACCTTGACCAGCACCACTACCTTGACCGCGACCAGCACGTTGACCAGCACTACTACTGTGTCTACTGGCACCGCTACCAGCACTACATTGTCCAGCACCACAAGCACAGCGACCACTGCCACCATGACCAGCACCACGACCCTAATCACTGTCACAATGACCACCACCACAGACACCACTATCACCACCACCACCCCTCTCGGCGCAACTACCACCATCACCGTCACGACACAGACAAGCACCACTACGCAATTATTTTCTGTTGATGGCACTATGTGGTTCGAAAGCACGGGCTCTGCAGAGCAGGTGGAAAGAGCGTCGGTGACTGCACTTGCTGCCTCTTCGGACGTGCCCGAAAGTACTGTGACCTGTGTTGCCTCGGTTTTCACGCCCAACTCGCGACGGCTCATGTCGGACCGGGAGCTCACCAGCTCAGTCACGTATTGGCAGGTCGATTGGACGACAATTGTAAGGGAATATGCCGCCATCTCGGCATACAACCTAGGGACAGAGCTGCATACGCATGTAAACGCGACTACAGGAGAGAACTTGGAGGTAATTGAGGAGTTTTATAGCCTCATGCTGGCTGCCATGTCATCAGAGGGCCTGACACTCGTGTCAAATTCCAGTGTCCTCGTACACGCAGAGCCCAGGATACTGCTAATCACCAACACCCAGACGACATCAACCACAGCAACGACATCAGCAACGACATCAACAGTGGCACAACTCATTGCCGACATGGAGAACACGGCGAGCATCGACTTTTTGATCATTGGCATTATAGCTGGTGCGGTCGTTGTTCTGTGTTGTTGCGTTCAAGCCGTATGGTACTTAAGGAGCCGCCAGTACCGGAAGTCCGAAGAGGACTTGGAGGCTGTGCCCCGAAGTGATCTCGAGCACGGGACGCCTGAGGACATTTTATGGGTTGCGCCGGGAGCGCCCCCAAGGCGCAACCCTTTGCCGAGCGGCGGCCCCACGCCGGCGCGCAGCTTGTCACGTGGTGGATCGACCGGAGTATCGCCTAGGGCGCCGGGAGCGTCCCCAAGGCACAACCCTTTGCCGAGCGGCGGCCCCACGCCGGCGGTGGATCGACCGGAGTATCGCCTAGGTCGAGCGGGATCGGATCATCGCCTAGGTCAAGCGGGAATCGCAGTCCGGCGGCTGCCTCACGCAGTCGTTCGGCTGTCTCACGCTCCTCCTCTCAGGCCTCAAGGGTAGCGATTTAGTGATTCGTTGCGATGACGAGAGCCCCGTCGCAGCATGCAGCACTCCATCGCAACAAGGTTTAGTATCTTGTTCGCGATGAAATCAGATTCTTAGGCTTACGCCACACCGCCGACCCCTTGTTTATGCCAATCTGGGTTATGGGTTATGGGTTAGAAAACGGCTCTGGGTTATGGGTTATGGGTTATGGGTTAGAGGCGTCTTGTATGTGTAGCGGGATCTCGCGGCACGCCTCTCGGGGGCCTATCGCAGGCAGTTTGGAACCACTTGGGGGCCCAGGTGGAGGAAAAGGAGGAGGAGGAGAAGGGGGACACGGAGAAACGGCTCTGGGTTATGGGTTATGGGTGAGAGGCTTCTTGTATGTGTATCGGGATCTCGCGGATCGCTTCTCGGGGGCCTCTGGAAGCGAGTTTTGGAGCCACTTGGGGGCCGTTTCGGAGCCTCTGGGGTGCTTCTTGGGGGTTCCTTGGGGCGTCTGGGCGGCCTCGTGAGGGCCTCTGGGGGCCTCTTGGGGCACTCTTGGGGCCCCCTGGGGCTCCTGGGGGCAGAAAGCTAGAGTTTCAACATGTTTGGTCGCCCTCTTGGGCCCCTCTTGGTGCCGTCTTGGAGCCCTCTTGGGCCGTCTTGGGGACCTCTTGGGCCGTGTTGGGGCCGTCTTGGGCCGTCTGGAGGCCGTCTTGGGGGCCTCTTGGGCCATCTTGGGCCTGTCTTTGGGGCCTCTTTGGCCGTCTTGGAGCGTCGGGAAGCCGAAAAGGCGGAAAAGCAAACAACATCGGGAAACACTATGGAAAATCAACAATTTTAGACTCTTGGGGCCCTCTTGGGAGGCTTGTTTGGGACCTCGGGGGCCGTCTTGGAGACCTCTTGGCCCGTCTTGGGGCCATCTTGGGCGTCTTGAAGCGGTCGTTTGGCGTCTCGGGGCCTTCGTGGGCCGTCTTGGAGGCCTCTTGGGGGCTTCTTGGCCCTGAAATCAGATTTATAGTTGTTTTTCCGCAGACGTCGCCCGATTTACAGGCCATTCAACCGAAGACCCCTCGCTTCTTATGTGTTTGAAGTTCAAAGCCAGTCGTTGCAGAGTTGGGTGAGTGCCGGGGCCACGAAAGGCGGGCGCAAGGGGGGGGGAAGGAAGGGAGGGCATCTGCGGGCCGCGACAGCTGGTGCGGGGGGAAGGGTTTCCCGCGCGCCGCGGCTTTGCTTGCGGCGGCCTTCGAAGTCTTCTGCAGCCTTCGAAGGGGCTGGCGCTGCAAGTCTTGAGCAATTTCTGCCAACTTCCCGCCCCAATTTCCGCCTCTTCTCAAGTCTTCCACCTCCTTGTGATTGGAGAGGCCTGACGGCCGGTGCAGCCGACCCTGATCGAAAGGGCTAGGAGTGGGGGGAGGAAGCGGAGGAGGTGGGGGAACCGCATGCGGGCTGTTTCCATTAATAGCCGGCACCCGCGGCCGCTTAGCTGATTTCTTCCGGCCGGAGGCCGGTGCAGCAGCGGCGTGGGAGTCGGCGGTGAAAGCATGGCGCGACTGACCGGTCGCTTGTCCATTTAGCGTGCTTCCTGCTTGTGCACCGTCTGGCGCCACGCCTATTTGACGTTTCACTTTGCTCACGCACCGGCTGGTGCAAGGCTTACTTGACTTGACTTCCACGTGTCGGGGTGCAAACGGGACGGCGTGGTGCTTCGCGTCATCGGTATTCATGGTGCGAGCTTGCTGGCCACGCAGGCAGGCGTGGACGGAGCAGGGCGAAGCAAGCGTATATGCCAGGCGCCAGCATCTGCTTATAGCTTGCGGCGGGAATTCACCCTGCACCCTGCATGGAACAGTTTTGTTTGTTTTCTTGCAGCCTGCGAATCGCTGGCGCTGCAGGCTTTTTGCAGTTTCTGCTCCCTTCCCGCCCCCATTCTCGCCTCGTCTGAGGTCTTCCACCTCCTTGTTTTTTTTTGGAGGTGAATTGCAGCGCAGTCAGAGAACGAACACAATAAAAAAAGAAAAACAAATGCACCCCCGAGAAGCACCCAAGAGGTGCCTCCAACAGCCAATTGAGAAAGCACGGAGAACCCCCCAGAAGCCCTTCAGATGTCCCAACGAAGACCCAAGATGTTCCCAAGAGCCCCTCAGGAGGCACGACTATGTCACGCGCCTGTGCTTGATAGCGCTGTCCAAGATCTTCTAGCGCGCCCCTAGCCTGGGCTAGAACTTGAGCGCGCGCGCGAAGCGCGCGCGGTGGTTCTAGTGTATTTATATATATATATATATATATATATACAGATAGACAGATGGGCAGGGGGTCCCGGGGCCCCCAAAGGGCACCGATTTATCTTCTGGCCGTTTCGAGCTTGGTTGCGGGCGCCAAAAACCACCAAAGGGGGCCGAGAGACGTCCAAGAGGGCGCCAACATGGCCGAAGAGCGCTCCAAGAGAGTCCAAGACCGCACAAGAGCGTTTCACAATTGGTCCAACATGGCTTGAAGACAGCCCGAGAGGGCTTCACAACGGCCAAGATGCTTGCAAAAGGACTCGCTGGAGGCACTCAGGAGGCGAAACAAGTGGGTTTGTTTCGAGGTTTTTGAAGGAGTTTCGTGTTCTCGCTGTTTCGTGCTGCCGCCGGTCCAAGACAGCCCACGAGGCCCCAGAGACCAGCTCAAGACGGCCCAAGAGGCACCCAAAGAGGCGCCACGACGGCGCAAGAGAGTCCCAAGACGGACCAAGAATGCCCCAAGACGGACCAAGAGCCGCCCAAGAGGGCCCCAAGACAGCCCTAAGAGGGGCCCAAGAGAGGGAACACGAACCGACAATTCGAGCCTTCCGCCCCAATTGGCCTCCAGGAGGCCCCAAATGGGCCCAAAGAGACGCCCACGAGCACCCCGAAAGGCCCCCAAGAGGCTTCCAAAACTGCCTTCAAGAGGCCCCCAGGAAGCCTCCCGCGAATTCCAAACGAACTTCAAGAGGCCTCTTACCCACAGCCCAAGCACGGTGGCGGGATGGGGCGAAGGCCATTGTGGGAACTTGAGCCGAGAACCCGAGATCTTCGCCCCAGGAGACCCCCAGGAGGGGCCAAGCGGTCCCCAAGAAGCTTGGCTACAGATCACCAGTCGACCGGTCGATGAGAGCGGAGGAGGAAACATGAGGAAAAGGCATTAGGAAACAGAGAATGAGGACCTCATTAGTCATGACCGACCGCCTTGTTGTCTCAATGCTGTCAGCACTCGACCAGCTAGAACCTAAGAGCGCGCGCGATGTTTCTGGTGTATGTATGTATGTATGTATGTATGTATGTATGTATGTATGTATGCATGCATGCATGCATGCATGCATGCATCTATGTACGTATGTATGTATGTATGTATGTATGTATGTATGTATGTATGTATGTATGTATGTATGTATGTATGTATGTATGTATGTATGTATGTATGTATGTATGTGTATGTATGCATGTATGTATGTATGTATGTATGTATGTATGTATGTATGTATGTATGTATGTATGTATGTGTGTATGTGTGTATATGTATGTATGTATGTATGTATGTATGTATGTATGTATGTATGTATGTATGTATGTATGTATGTATGTATGTATGTATGTATGTATGTATGTATGTATGTATGTATGTATGTAGGTATGTAAGTATATGAAAAATACGTGTATGTAGGTTCTTGTTGAAATAAAACATATGTATGCACCCATGTAATTATATGAACATGTGTATGCGTATATACATATATCGGGGGACCGGGACCGGGGGCCGGGGGCCGGCGCCTCGACCGCAAATGTGGGGCCCGGGCGTCATTTTCATTATTTTTTATTGGGTTTCGGCGACCCGGGGCCAACGGGGCCCCAAGAGGCTGCAGGGAGGCCCCAGGAGGCCGCAGCGATGGCTCCAGACGCCTTCCAAGACGACTCCCATGACGCCAAGAATGCCCCCGAAGGCCCCGAAGACGCCCCAAGAGGCACCCCGAGAGAGCCCCAATAAGCAAACAGCGTCGATTTCCGATGGGAAAACTGATACTTTTGGCGTGTTCGCCTTTTGGGCTTCCACTGCGTCCAAGACGGCCCAGGAGGCCCCCAAGACTGCCCCACAGGCTCCCAAGAGGGCTCCAAGACGACCCCAAGATGGTCCCGAGACGGCCCGAGACGCTCCCAAGGCAGCCCAAGAGAGCCCCAGGACGAGCCCCACAGGGGCCCCAAAGGTGCACAACCATATTCAAATTCCGAGCTTTCGGCCCCAGAGGCTCCAAGGAGGCTCCAAGAGGTCCCCAGGAGGCCGCAAGAGTCCCCCCAGAGGCCCCCGAGAGAACCCCAGGAGGCTCCAGGAGACACCCCAATAGAGCCCCAACTAAGCAAACATCATTGATTTCCTGTTGGGCAACCGATATTTTTGGCGTGTTCGCCTTTTGGGCTACCACTGCGTCCAAGACGGCACACGAGGCATCCAAGGTGGTCGAGGATGCCTTCAAAACGGCTCCACTGACGGCCCACGAGGGGGCCGGCCCACGAGACGCGTACGCCGCCCAAGAACGCCCCAAGACGGCGCACAAGACGGGGACCAGGAACTCGCAAATCGCGCCTTTTGACCCAAGAGACCCCTAGGAGACCCCAAGAGGCCCCAAGAAGCGCCCCAGAAGCCCCAAGAGGCCCCAATGAGACCCGAAAAAACACCAAAAGGGGCTCCGAAGACGCCACAAGAGGCACCCCAATAGAGCCCCAAATTGGCAAACATTGTCGATCTCCTACCAGAAAACTTATATTTTTGGCGTGTTCGCCTTTTGGGCTTCCACTGCGTCCAAGACGGCACACGAGGCACCCAAGACTGTCGAGGATGCCTTCAAAACGGCTCCAAGACGGCCCACGAGGGGGCCGGCCCACGAGACGTTTAAACCGCCCAAGAACGCCCCAAATCGGCGCCCAAGACGTGGACGAGGAACCGAAAATGCGAGCCATTTGGCCCAAGAGGCCCCCAGGAGACCCCAAGAAGCTCCAAGAAGCGCCCAAGAAGCCCCA